CTCATCCTAGCCATTCCCTTCTCTCTCAGACGTCTAGGCACTCTACACCACCGCTCTCATGGTCCAATACATTGTACGCGTCCTAGAAACAGGGTAAGACCATCGCGAACGTGCATGACAACGAGAAACTCACCTTTATACGGACGTTCTCCGCCCATCTTCGTGTTGGTCCACCATCTTCCACACCTATCTCAGGCCAACATCCTCCAGTACCATCGATGCTCTCGCTAGCCTCGCTGTCGTCGAAATGCCCTATCGAGCACCTAAGAACACAGTAAGTTCGCGTTAATCATCGATGATGAGGTGAGACACTCACGATGTGTTGGGTGTGATTAGGTCCGGCGGGGATCGGGAATAGAACTGTCGTTNNCAGTTCTTCGCATTCGTTTATATCTTGTAGGTCGAGTAGGGCCCTCGAGCAGGACACCTACGCGAATCCAATAGGGGGCCAAGTGCCTGTCTTTGCGAGCGGCTTGAGGGGCAACGCGCGATGGCACTTTTATCAGGCGAGAATCCTGATATCTGCTTTGTACGTTTCCGTGTTGAATAGGGTATACAATGGAGGAAGGCGTAGAAATACAGAGGTGGGACAAACTTGCCTGCTGCCGGCAGATGCCGCCGTAGTGATCGCCGTAGTTGATCGCCGTAGTTTCCAATTCACGAATGCACCCCCCGTGTCTTAGTCCGAGTCTCTCAGACGCCTCTTCGCATCCAACCGGCCGATCATCGCTGCGGCTACTAGTTGCGATACGTGTATCTTCCGGGTTCCCGCCTTGCCTTTCTTCACTGGATCCGAACTCGATCGGCTGAAGGTCAACAGTCGTGGGAGCTGGAGACGGTAAGTGTAGGGGATGGTTTGTGTTTGAGTTTGAGTATGAGTATGAGTACGAGACGAAGACGGGGTTGGGGTATGTCACGGCGAGGATAATGGAGAAGCACCAGGGTGGGATGTGTATCCTCGGTGTATTTTTGAGGGACGGTAGGTACATGGACGTATAGAGTATGCTGTGTGATGACACGGACATACGTGGGCGGGTATCATGGGTGCTCAACAAAGATGGGTGCAGGGGGTGAACGTGAAGCATACATCAGAGACTAACGACCACGAGAACGCCCAACAGGGCACTGAGAGCGGCAAGCTTCAACCCTCCATTCGGACCCATCGAAAGGCCGTCAGCAGCTGAGGTCGAAGTCGTAGGAGCTGGAGAGCTGTCAGTGTTGGTGTTGGTCGAGGTGGCGGAGGAGGCGGAGGTCGAGGTCGTAGGAGCCGCAGCAGCGTCAGTGTTGGTGTCGGTCGAGGTGGCGTTGGAAGCGGAGGAGGCTTCCGGGACGGTGTATCTACGAGTTCCATAACACGTCAGTCCAACGAAGAAGGGAGATATTTGAGACTTACATGAAATTGACCAGCCCAAACACCGTACTCTGCCCAGCTGGGTCGACCGTCATGTTCCTATTCGGCGACGGGCCTTTGATGGAGAGTCTGATAGTGTGCTCTACGGTTGGGTCGAGCTCTGAGGAGGAAGAGAAGAGCGGCGCGCAGGTGAACGCGCGGGAGGGCCGCACGCCGTCGACGTCGGTGGACTGGCCGTCGAGGGTGATGGTGTAGATGGGGGAGATGGATAGGAGGAGGGCTGTTATGTAGATCGCGGAGCCTGGTTGCGTGGTCGGGGAACGCGGATCGTGAGTAGGGAATAGAATGGAAGAGGGAGAGGGTACGGGGATTACACAGATGAATAACAGGTGTGAGACGAAGGGGCGGGACGAGGAGGTAAGCAGCGAGGGTAGTAAATTGAAGACTACGACGTACCTCTGAACTTAAACTCAGCAGTAGACTCGGGCGACTGCCCCATCGCAGCGCTGGGGGCGCACATGGAGGGGACGTTGTAGCACCCTGCCTGGCCTGCAATGATGGTCCCGTTGGTGGTGTATTGGCAGAACAGGGCGTCGCCGGTGCCTTGGCCTGAGTACTGAGTATTTGATTCGACGGAGGTGGCGGGTGAGAGGAGAGATGTGGTAAGCCTGGAGTGAGTCGGGAAGAAGGGAAGGAGGGAGGAAGGGGACGTACGACGATAGAATCATCTGAGGACGGCACGGTGATGTTCGTCTGAGCCAACGCCCACTCGAAACGGAGAAGGGTAAGGAGAGCGGCGAGGGTGAGGAGGATTGGGGATCGCGGCCGCGGCGCGTGCATGGTCTGAGTTGGTATGTAGATGGTAATACTAAAGAACGTGGTTGGAGTGAGTGGAAGAGAAAGTCAAGTCAGAGTCGATTTGAGAGAGCAACGAGGAGGGAGATGAGCAACAACATTAGGATCGAATCATTGGTGTTTGACTTTGAGCGCGTCGTCGTCTCGGGTTGGGCGGGCGCGGCGGAGTTTCCATGAGGACGGAGAATGCCGGTGACTAAATTTAGCTTGATAATGGTCTCTCTCTCGTTCGCCCTCACCCTTACTGTGCACGCCCTCTGCGTCACTCTGTTCGTCGTCGCCTCTAGGTACTTAGTGTGCTGTACCGTATACGGCAAACTGGGAACCGCTGACGTGCAACAGTAGCCCGCGATTACCTGGATATGGTGGCCAAGGTTCGTCTCCATAAGCCTTCCCTGCATCACGAGTACTCGACGACGGACGTGCAGGATCTTCAGACTTGCTGCCGTGCCGCCCGACGTCAACGCGCCCTACGACTACGACCCTCTCACCAACCTCCTGCTCGTGTACGCACCCTTCCTGGACCTGAGGTGTCCTCTCCATCCTTCCTCCGTCCCACCCTCTGCCCTCTTTTTCCCCTTTGTTCTATCCATTGAGACGCCCCCGGGGCCGCGCCGCTCTCCTCCTTACACCGTCTTCGCATCTCCCCCCTCTCGTTCATGACTCGACTCTTCGAGTCCGCCCACGCACTTCCAAGGCCGTTCAGCATCACTCTTCTGGATACCTACCCGACATGTACTAGAGACTATCACATTCATTATAGTATTAACCCCCCAATCCCTTCATCACGCCCATCAGGCGAAGATTTCTCGACTGGCTCCCAAGTTCGGCCCCCATCTGCTACGCTGAGGTACTCTGTGCTCTGTAGACGAACGACGTACGACGCTCTCGCCCTTCCCTCTCTCGCTCTATTCCACCTCTTCGCTCCGTTCCACTCACCACCCCCTTTTATCCGCCCTTCCAAGCCCCACCCCGCCCAATCTGATCCCTAACTCGTTATTCTTTGCGAACTCAACACCCTGCACGAGACATTCCACGTCGACGTCCGCGCCCTCGGTCGATCTCTTCTATCGTCCTCGTTGGGTAGACGACGGCGACTGACAGTCAGCGTCACGTACCTCTCATTCGACTTTCCGACTTTCCTCATGCGCTCTTTCGTATAGATGGCAGCACGGGTTCCAGGCGATACGACGCCGCTAGGACCACGTCAGCGACAATGTCAACAGGATTCCTGGAGATGGGGCTTTATGCTCTAGGTACATACGTGCTTTCCTGTCTCCGCCCTCCCCTTCCCTCCCTTCCATCTCCGAATCTATCTCTAGCCTCCCAATTCTCTCCACCTCGCGTTCCCCACCTCTCGTCTTCCACCTCGCGTTCTCATTCTCAACTCAATTTCTGCGACCCCGCGCGCCCGCCAAATTAAAGGCCGTTCATTCGTAATCATCACCCTTGTGCCAGCCCCTGACCTGGCGCATCTCCCTATGTACGCACTTTTCTCTATCCGACAAAGAGGAGGATAGGAGACTGCGATCGGTGGGCGACGTACCTCATTCGAGTTCCGATGCTCGTCGTGTGGTCTGCTGTATAGATGGCCATCCTAGGTTCCTGGCGATATGACCCCGCCAGCGACCGCGTGAGTAAAGAAGAGGATTCATGGAGATGGGGTTTTGTAGAGCAGGTACGTGGTCTCCTGCATCTACCATTCCCAGAGTATTATGTCCATTCAGATTCTACTGCTGTATACAGCTCCGCGCTACTCTGCTCCATCTGCCGTCTTATCTTTACCCTTTTTCTTTTTCTTTCTTCTCCGTGGCATCCGACCGTATCTAAATCTATCTCTAGTCGTCTGGCTTCCTAAGTTCAATGTCCCACCTCGCTCGCGTCTCCTACCTCTCATTTTCGAATCCAGGTACCCACCAAGGGCAGAGGGCGTTCATCATCCCTCTCGTGATCCATCCTATCCGACGTGTACGAATCTACGAGAGCACTGTATCGCCTGAGGACGCTGTCTATCGCTGCGCCAGCGTACTCTATAGACAGATGGACAGACGGACGACACTCGCCGTCTCTTCTCTCGATGTCCTTTCTCTCGTTCCCCTGCTCTATTCTACATCCTTGGGCCAAAGCACTTCCCGTCGCTGATATGTAACTGGGGCGGATAGGGAACGCTGTCACGGTAGTGTTCGTTCTACATGTCTCGACGGTGCGACAGTCTCGACGGTGACGAAATTATGGTGAACGTTCTGGAATCTGTGTTCGTAACCCCTCATTGGCCCGTAACCCCTCATTGGCGTATACGTACCATCCATGTCTGTATAAATGCTGAAATGGTCCTGGCTGCCCGCACCAACATCCTCTCACTTCCGCGGCGACTCGGATCGCGAGCCCGAGTGGGGAATGTGCTCGTTGGATTAGGTGCGGTCTGTGCACGGGTGCAAGCTGGAGCAGGCGGCCGACTGGGGCGCGGTCAGAGTCGCGTCAAATATTGCTCTGCAGGCCGTGTAAGTCGAAGGTTCTACTTGGCTTGGATTAAATCCTCACGGCCGCTGCAAGGTATGTGTCGGTACTCTTCGTGTTCGTCGCCCTTTTGTGCCTTTGTACTGCCTTTGTTCATTCTCCTCCCCGCCCGACAATCTGCACCCGGTGCTCGTCAATGCTCGTTCGCTACCGCTGCGAATTCAAGTTTTCCTCTCGTGGAATCTTACTCGGAACGCCAATCTTGAGAATTGAGGCGCTTATGTTCGTCCAGGGTTCCTTAGGGTATGGCTACGGCACAAGCACGCCACGGCGCTACGGATATCCCAGCTACTCTGCTCGGCGGTGTAGGAGGAAGATAACGTCTAGGTGAGCGTGCGGAGGCCTAATGTATACACAATATCAGTGTGCGTTTGTGCGCGAATCGTAGTTTTACGTCGTCCAGCTTCGACGTGGGACTCACAGGCCCTCGTCTTTGGTCGATCCTTATCATCAAACTCTCCAAGAAATACTACTTGACGCAGGAGACGTGGTTGACTAGATCTGCGAACTATCCGCTTTCAGTATGCTTGAACGATTCGTACGGCGGCTACGTCCCACTGGACGCCTCATGATTGGTGCTCATGGAAGTGTGGTTGAACGTCGCTGTTCCCACTTTCTCAATCACGACGATCCTGCGGCTTCGGTATAATGTTTCGTATGCCCAAATCTCATTCTCTTCGGAGTCTTCGTGGACTCTTGGACCTCGAGCACCTTTCTTCCGCCCTTATCTCATCTCCTTTCCGGAGGCCCCATGGACCGCAGTGCATGACATCATGTCTCCATCACGTAAGGAGACCATCGACTCGGACGAAAGATGTGCGACTTGCACTCGAACTTAAAAGCTGTAGGCCTGTACCGTGCACAGCGACACTATCCAAAGGTACAGCACTCTCTGGACTTTATCTTCTCGCCGAAGAACAGAATGGGTTTACCAGACTCTCACCCCGGACTTCCAGGACCAGAAAATGAGCAACTTCAGGCGTGTTACGTGCGGCGATGCTTTGGTGCGAATCACACCCCTATCGCGTGCACCCGCTTGCAAGAAATCGGCTCTCCTTGCCCTACATGCGTCGAAATTGAGCCCCTGGATCGTCAGATCGCCGATACCCGCCCATCTGGAAGCACACCGCATCGGCAATTGTGCGCCTTTGGCTCTTGCCGCTGTTTCGACGCGTTGGCAGGCGATAGCGCGGTTGACAGCCCCGTTGTGGACCTGCGTGCGCCTTGAACTTGACTGGGTTCGGAACCGTCCCTCATACGAGAAGATGCTCCGCGAGTGGCTTTCGCGCTAGGCACGACTACTGCTTTCAATCACTCTCAGTATCAGGTACTGCGGCCTCAACGATAGGAGCAGAGTTGGGCTCTGCCGCTCCGTCATCCGGATTCTGAACGAGCACGCCCCGCGGGGGGGCGGGCTTTCCCTCAAGATTCCTTTTCATCTAGTGGCTATTTTCTGAAGCGATACAGTGGGTGCGCCCAACTTTCGGAGGCTCTCGACCATTCCTCCAGACCCTCTCGAACATGAACCTAGGACTTGTAGTTTTGCCCTCGGAGTGCCCCTTACCCCGAGGATCACACAGACTTCTTTATCAAGTATCCTCATCGCCGAATGCCTTGAGCTGTTCCAGATGGCCGGCAGAATCAGCAAATGAACACTTGTACAGCATTCGGGGAAGCACGATCATCCTTCTCACCTCGAAATTGCTGGTCGTTCTGGACTACCGGACGTTCAAATTATCGGAGAGTCCACATCCATTTTATTTGACAACCCCGTCCTCCCATCCTTGACATCTTTCACTTATCATGGGCCAGGCCCAGGACGACTCAGCCCACTGACATCACTCATCCCCCGATCCTCTTGTCTGATTAAATCCCTCACCATCGAAGAAGGTCGAACGGGACCTATGGACGACGGAGTCGATCTCTACGAGCTATTCTGGGAGGTACCCAGCCTCGAAAAACGTGATATTACGCGTGTCTGCCTTTCTCATGAATTCTTTGACTTGCTTGCCGTCTCTGAAGGGCCTGATTGACCCAAATTTTTCCCTTTGCTAGTGCATGTGCACATCCACAGTCCAGGTGATACGAGAGAATCTCGTGGTCCACGATTCACAAGGGATTGGAAGCCCGAGTTATCACCGAACGACCCCTTCTTCCTGGATGTGTATGTGATCGCCAGCGAGGAGGGGTACTGCATGTATAAAGATAGCATTGAGCTTTTCCAGCGCCTCATCGATGGCGGGTCACAGCTGAACATCCGGAACAGGTTTTCTGGGTCTCCTGATGTGATAGATTATTCGCGGGCGTACCATGAGGAAGCGAAGACTCGACTCGCTGTGAATGATGGTTAAGTAAGGTACATACGCGGCTAGGTATTCGCAAGGCGAACATTAACGCCTCCATGCCACGAGCCGAATTTCTCAAGGCTCTTCTATTTTTTCGTACCGTGGAAACAAAGAGATTAATTTTCCTTGAGACGGGTTTCGAATATTGGAATGGCGCGTCGCGTCACGACCTCGTGGATCGTGACAGTATCACTTTTGTAGTTTTATCGGCTTTCACTCAACTTGCCCTCGAACAAGTTGTACCATACCCAGTGGCATTATCCCAAGGTGCGGGTATCTCAATATTCTCAACTTGGTCATCATGCTGATAGCTGACCTGGATTACCAGATGTCGACCAAGATATTTTCGGGAAATCAAAACTTCAGATGCGCTATGTGTGGCGAGCAGGGAAGCTTCGGCGCCCAATACTCCACTCAGACCGCCTGTACACGGCTGCGAATATTCAGCCCCCCATGTCCCCCATGTATCACACTCGAAGCTCTGGACCGCCAGATTGCTGAGACCCGTGCTTTTCTCGCACATATGGAAGCACACCGTGCCACCGTTCTACCTGACATCAACGCGTCTCACGACCCCCTCACGGACCTCCTGCCGACCGAGATTGCATCTCGAATTTTCGTTTCCTGTATGTATGACCTTGAAGAAGGAGAAGAACTCGATCACCACGTCCCGTTGACACTTTCTAGTGTTTCAAGGCGCTGGCGGGATATAGCCAGGTCGACCGCGCCTCTGTGGGCATACGTTCGCGTTGGACTCGACTCGGTGGGCAACCAGCAGGAGTACCAAGAAATTCTTCACCAGTGGCTATCCCGCTCCAGAGGATTTCCGCTTTCAGTCGTTGTCCATGTCAAATATTGCGATCCGAATGATACCAAGAAGTGGGCTTTCTGTCGGACCATCATACGGATTCTAAATGCCCACTCCTCTCGGTGGACAGACCTTTGCGTTATTATGCCTCTTCATCTCATTACTATTCTTGATGGACGTGCTCCCAATCTTCGGCAGCTCTCGATTACCCCTCCTTACAGCCTTGAGGACTACTCTGGACCCGCCTATTTCTGCGTCTCGATCCCCTACCCTGCCCCAAATACTGTGTTTCTCACACAATGCAGACTGGAGAACTTTAAAATCGAGTGGCAGAATGTTACGAAAGTAACGCTTTCTGCCATCCTGATCAATGAATGCCTCGAAGTCTTCAAAATGGCACCCCTGCTCCAGGAATGTGCGCTATACGACGTCGAAGAAAGCCCAGTCGTGGTCTCATACCCGGAAACTCCGATCATTCTTGAACACCTTACGACGATGGACGTTGAAGTTACAACCAGTTCCACATCTCTTTTCTTTGACAACATCGTCGCACCATCCCTGAATTCGCTATTTTATCGTGGGGACAAACAAAGCCTTAACCCACTGACGTCTCTCGTCCGCCGGTCGTCTTGTCAGATAAAGTCGCTAACTGTCTATGAATTCGACCCAGTAGAACACGAGGCCGAACTTTGCGAGCTCCTCTGGGCACTCCCCGCTCTAGAAAGTCTTGGCCTCTCCTCTATCTATCTTTCGAACGAGATCTTCGAGCTACTCAGCCGATCGGCCCAAGTCCCGGGAGAGGAAGGACAGAAAGAAACCCAATTCCTCCCTTTGCTTAGGAAACTCCGTATCCGTGTTCCAGCAGGTCCGCCGCGATTCTCGTGGTCCGCTGTCCGCAGCACCATACAAACGCAGCTATTTCTTGAACGATTCCACCTTGATGTACGGGTGGATAAAGGCGACAAAGGCTGCTACATAGATGAGGCTAGTCTCGATTTTTTCCAACGCCTCGTCGATGGGGGTTTCCATATGTCAATCTGGAACGAAAGGTGGGTGGGATCTCATGATGTCATAGCGTATTCTAGGGATTACTATGCAGGACGCAAGATGCCACTTACCATTACTGGTGCATAAGGTATGTGACGACCGGCCTTCACGCTTTTCGGCGTCCCCGTTTATTTCTTACTGCTCTGTTCTCAGGTTTTCCATCTCTTCTCGTTCTACGGACCGTATATAGGGCATTTAGTCTCGTCGAGAAGTATGTTACGAGGCTGATCTGGATTCAGTATCTGGGATGTCAATGTGGTAAATAACATGCGAATGCGAAGTTCTCTTCACTGTCTGTGCGTATAGTACTCTGGATTATTAGAGAAATTGCGATCTTCGTTAGGATAGACCTTGAGAAACAGAATCGCAACTTCGTTTCGAGAACGTAGTGGTGTACAAACGTTACATTTCGGGCATTTCTAACTTTCTTACAGCTGATGTTCTGACATCTACCAAGAAATATAAGCGTGAGTAGTAGAAGCACCTCTGTATACTTCAACTAACATCGATATACCAGTCAGAAGTTTTCAACCCGAATATCTACGCCCCCAAGAAGTGGTTGATACTTCGGTACGACGTCGTCCAAGAATCCATTCCTCTCAGCAAACGGCATCTTGAGAATGAGGGACGTAATCGGTGTCAACGCTCTCACCTCTTCCTCATCAAGACCTCCGCCAATGCCGCTGAAAGTTGAGGGACCGGGATCGAGGTTAACTCCATCACGCTTCGCGTTTTCGACATTGACCACCGTCATCCGTGTCGTAAGCATGATCAAGAACTCCTCCGCGTTCCTGATACTGCTCGTCGTCGCCCCGAGAACGTGTAGCGAGGGTAGCAGCGTCCCATTTGCAAGCTTCTCTAGAGTGGTGGCGTGGACGAGGATGCTACGCGGGAGGTGGAGGGTGTGGATATTCGGGGTGGACTCGAGCAATGATTCGAGCTCGAGATAGGTGAGTCGGAACTGCGGATAAAGGCGCGCGGAGGTGCGCTCTACGTTTTTTATGTGATACGGAGAGTCGACGAGCGCGAGTTGCTCCAATTTGGTCGAGGACGCGACGAATGTGGTGAAGGATCGTGGGTTCCACCCCTGGCGCAAGCTCAGCTCGATGCAGAGGTCACGAAGCTGAGGAATATGGATTCGGTCGAAGAAATTCGCCTCGAGCGTCTCTCCTCCAAGAATAATCTTCAACTTCTTCAACCTCGCCATCGTGACCGCCGGAACGTCCATCGATATACCACCGGCGGTGTGGGTGGAATGAGGGCCGCTCGCAATACCGCCGTTGAAATCAACGTGGAAGGATTCTTCAACAACGGTCCTTGCGGTGCGATGCATGAGGATGAGGACCACGTCGGGCGCCAAGGGAATGTCCACGAGCTCAAGCGCGACAAGTTGAGACCAGGGAAGCCGGACGTCGAGGATGTTGGGCGCATGCAACGGCGCTCCGTCGTGGAGCTCGATACGGAACGCGTTGCCTGCACGATCGATGGCCGACATCGCGTTAAATGTGGGGATAAGCTAATTAGATATACGATTAGATGTAATGAGAACGGGTGATGGAAGGGAGGAACGCTCACAAAAAAGAGGCAGCTGTTCGAGGTTCAAGGATGAAGTTAGAGAGGAAAAGCCTGGGGAGTCCATCGTCCTGGTCCCCTGCTATATGTGAAACCTTCAGGCGAAGTTTAGAGGAAGAAAGGAACATATTCGACTCACCGAGCCGCTTTCTTGCTTTGCGGCCTGTCAAAGTAGGTCCATGCTATTCCCACCTACACAGCTTATTTTGCCCACTGAGAAACGAAGCAGACGTAAGGGTGCTGTCGAATGAGCCAATGGTCTAAATAAATAGAGAGCTAAACTGTGCTCTCAGTATCAGATAGCTCTGGAGGCTACGTTTGGAAGAGAACATAGAATACGCACCCAACGAATTCTTTGCCTCCATACCCTCCGTTGGAAGGTAATTGTTGAGTACGGCATAACCTCTGCATTAGGAAACTTCCAAGACATTCGACGGCACGCATGTGCCAGACCAAATGTATTGGGAAAGGGTTCGTCAGTCGTAAATGGCGCATGCTTCGCCATGGGATTCACTCGCCACTCGCATCAGCGCATCATGGACCGTTATGTCCAGACGTCCTCGGATAACGACATAGCCCCTCTATGCAGAATAAGCGCCCAAATATCCGATTAGTGACAAGCCTGGACAAGATCGTGATCCTAGTGTGTGTGTTGTTATTGAAGGCGTGCATTCTACTTACTGTGATTGGACCATAATTTAAGGCAACGAACAAGATGGATAACAGGCACCCGGATAAAAGATATAAAGTGCCACATCACGAACAAACTTTCCCGCTGCAGGGTGCACGGATTCTTCTTATCTGGGTCGATCGATGCAGGGACGACGGACATAATTGAAAGTGGGTAAGTAGCGGAGAAAAAGTGGGCATGCAAGATTCGACTCTTTCTCGTGGAAGGAGGGTTCCAGAAAATGTTTTCCCACCGCATTCTAATCGACTTATCCGATTCACAACAGTAAGCTTTTACATAAATACTACTGTAGTCTCAGAGACATGACGCCCAAAGACGATTTATTTTGATGGTTAAAAGGTGGATTGAAGGAAAATTATCTTATCTTATCTTATCAGGTTAGAGGCCTTACCCCATCAGTACATCATTTGAACTTCAACCGTTACGACGACGACAACGACAACATCCTCACAACTCGCCGAGTCCCTCTGTCTCCCGCATCGTTCTGGCAAAATTTAATTTAGAAAGTGTGGCTACCCCACAATCCTTCGTCATCTGGCCGAGGTTCGGCCATAGAAATTCACTGCAGCAACTGGTGAGCGTCCTCAGCTGGTTCATGCTCGGCGTTGCGCTGAGAGGAACTCCGAAGGCCCAACAAACTGTGGTCTACAAGCCTCCGGAGGGTTGGCGGGTGACTTGGTAGGCGCGAGATACTCATGCAGTTACTTCAAGAGTACCGAAGCCATGATTCGTCCGCCGTTGTCGACAGGGGGTCACGAATAGCCCATGTAGGCCGACATCTGACGCCAACTATCCTCCGACTTTTGACATCCTCATGACCGGTGAGTGGTTGATGTATTTCAGGCGAGACGTTGAGGACTCAAGACCTTTCGTAGACTATTCTTCTCACAGCACCGAATGAACGGAGAAGATTCGTCACCTTCAGGTTCTCCGAGAGCTGTGCGCTTACACGGACCTTTCATCATCTGGCGAAGGTCCTGAAAACTCAAACGAGCCGACAGCCATCCGCAAGTCCAGCGTACAACGCCCCTCTCTTCCACACTCTCTAGACCTCAAAGGCATATTCAACTCTATCCATGCCCTGCCGCAGTCCACTTCAACTACCACCCATCACCGAAAATTTGAGACTGCGCAAGATAACCGCCTCGGCCACTACGGACAGGAGGAATCGCTATGCACACTCTCTAGCCCGCGTCGTTCTCTGCCCGAGGCTATCGCAATGCGGGTCGATAGCCAAGGGCTCGGAGACTGGAACGTTGACGTTGGAGAGTAGACTAGAACGATATCAACCGATCTGGATGATTGAATGCCAAGCAAGTGGTAGGCGCGAAGGAGTATGAGGGTCGCACTGTTGATGACGATGACGACGGGCTGGTGCTGTCCAACGACCGTTCGACTCAGGAGGTATGCCCCACCTTCGCTGTGGAGAGCGTCTGTGACGATGTTCTGAATCATTTTTCAGGCTCTCATATTCTCAAGATATCAATGTAGATTTTGATGAAGAGAACTCGAACTCGGAGTGCCACAAACTCATTCACTCGGTGTTCATATACGATTCTATTCTCTTTTGAAGAACACATTTGTGGATTTTCTTTCTCGGTAGATTCACTCGATGATATATTTCTCCTTCGCCGTATATCTTATATCATGTTCGTAGTTTCGTATGATACATTTTTCTATGGTACATCTACGAGTCGTGCTTCAAAAAATTCAAACCTCGGACTGTTGAAGAGAAAATGCCAACCTCTTACGACAAATCGAAGCCTGCCCCAGCCCAAATCGCCTTCAACACCTTTTCTTTCAACACCTCCGCCGTTTCATACCGCGGCAATTTCAGAAGATTAACGCAGGTGCTTACACTAGGTAGCCTATCCTGGTCGCCACCAGCATCATGAATCGCAAATCCGGGGCTTAGCTCTTTGAAACCGAGAAGTGGAGGGCGGGAGCAGGAGGTGACGAAGCGTAGGAAAGCCTGAAGGTCGTCCTGAGAGAACGTGGACAGAACGGACCAAAAGAGGATAATAGTGGGATGCGACGAATCGTACGGCCCGACGTAGGAAGTGTGCTCGCGGAGGTCATCAACAGAGATCGGCGTCGGTGTACCGCCTAGAAGGAGTTGAAGTTCGGATTGATTGAATATCCTGTCAAGAGCGTTATTTCTTTGGCGACTCCAGACTCGTTTGGAGAGGACGTACCGAAGCCACTTATGGTGGATCATCTCCGACAGGCCCTCGAAGAAAACCTCGCTTTGCAGTCGGATCTGGCGATTGAGCCTGTAGCTTGAGACCAAGAAGATATATTGCAGACGGTTCTCGCGTGTAACGGTGATGTTGCTCCCGTTTGGGATGAGGTCGATCGATTTTGTTATACCGGCTGATCCTTGTAAAATGAGCAAGGAATCAACAGGATCCAGTGGTTTATCAGACAGATAGAGCGCTTACCATCGACAGCGACTGTAAAGTTCAAGGCGAGATCCTCTGGGTTACCAGGGTAGTTCTTGAGGTAAATGAGACCGTTGTACAGCTCGGAGTCGAGCGATGCAAGGTCGTCAAGGAAAGATTGGCGGCCGAGCCACTGTTCAGAAATATGATGGTCAGCATTTGGTTGAGTGTCACAAAGTAAACGTGTCTAGCAAGGATATGGGAAATCTCGAGAGGGACGAAGACGAAAGCCGAAAGAGACGAAAGAGGATAAAACAACGTAAGCCTTGCCTTTGCCAAAAAGAACCCAGCAAAAGCGATGTCAACCAAAATTCCTTCATACAATGCCTTGGCCAATATCCTCCCAATAAAGCGGTACCAATCAAGACTCCGACCTATTAATCACGGTTCAGCGTCATGCACCTTCAGGAGAATTATGGAAATTTGGACACATGTGCTCACGTTTGATAGCATACCCATGAGGGTTAGGATACAGCTCGTTCTTCTTGTTCACGAGCCAGAGCCCACGGTCCGTGTTAAAGACTTCTTGGCACAGCGACGTGAAGAACTCCTTGAACACTCCGCCGCCATCGATGCCGGCTCTATAATAAATAAATTGAACATCGGTTGAGTTACGATCGATTCGATTCGAGTGTGTTTCGTAACGGCAGACTTACTCCTCTTGGCCAAATTGATCCACGAACACGATCGCAACAGGGAACTTTAAATCAACATGCGCGAGCTTGTCGAACCCATCCTGCGTGACCATCTCTCGGCGTATGACCACGCGAGGCCTGGCTGTGGGTGCCGGTTCCGCTGGCTCTTGCGAGGCTGCTACATCGTCGCCCGACGCGCCGTCTTCATGGGCCTCTTGGTCTCGCGTGTTGCCTTCGGGGTCGCCATCATCATCGACCTCCATCCCTTGCCCAATGTCGTACTCTGGCATTAGGACCTGCCGGGCCTGGAAACCCGGGGCAAGGTATCCGGAACTGAAGAGGTTCTCAAAAAATGACGACCCAACGTTCCTGCCGTCAACTCGGAAGCCAATATTAATGGTCATCCTAGGAGGATCGGGCTGTACCGTACGTCGGGCCTCCGACTCAGCCATCGCCCGCGCCGCACGACGGGTGCTTTCCCGCTCTGCTTCCACCTCCTCCGCAGTACGGATCCTGTTGATCCCTAGTCCAGGATCTGGCCGTCGAGGGAGGGGCCGATTTCGGGCTTCCCTCTCGGACAACCTTTGTGCATGTGCAGCGGCATCTGCGCGCACGAACTCGCGGAAGATACGCACGCGGACTTCGAATGGTATGGCGAATGGTATGTTGTTCAGTATACCGAGGCGGGGAGTCAAGATTTGCGTGAGTCGGGGTTGGTGGGTTGCGCGTGGTCCACGAGTTCGACGAGAGTCGTCTTGAAGAGAGAGCTGTCGTTCTTCGATTCTATCGGACTCAGAATAAGCACAAAGACGAGGAAATATAGACTCAATAGTACTTACACGGCTGCGTCGACGAAAGATTTCCACATGTCACCATCAGAGTTGACGTCCAAATGCGAGGTAACCAGCCAGTGGTCCGGAGGGACGAATGGTCGTCGAGAGCTGCAAGAGTTGGTTTGTTAACTCCCATCGGTATTCACAGAAAATAAGACGACACAACGACGAAGGTACATCATAACCGACCAAGATACAGAGACGAAACATGAAAAAGGAAGGAGAAAAGAAACAAAGAAAAGAAAAGAACGGCGGCACTTACTCTCGAGCATGTACAGCCAACAAGCACTTCGTCACCTTCTCCCTAACCTCCTCCCACGTACATTGGACTTCGGCACTCACACGCGTCACAGCGAACGTCGAATTGACCTTCCAGTAGAGCACGAACGCGATATTGAGCAGCTGCTTCGAAAACCACACAAGTTCTTCGAGAGCCAGTGGATTTCGTGGAACGGTCGGGCCCGCACTTCCGCTTGACGCAGACGATGATGATGTCTCCAATGATGTCCCGAAGAACTCATCATCGCCCATGGTAAGGAGGGCTTGGGAGTAGAGGTCTGCGAAGAGGAGCAGAGGCGCGTAGTGTGCTGCATTTGCAGGATCTGCGGGCAGTCCGGCGTCAACAAACGACTTGGAATAAAACAGAGGAAACATGAAACACGAAATAATAGCTCTGATCGAACATCAAGCCAACACCGAGATCATAAACATGACGAACAGAATACGAAAAGCTCGGAAGGTAACGAACACAACGAAAAAACGTACCGAGAACATCAGTGCCACCCTCGTCCTTCCCAATAGGCGCAGTCTTAACCAACTGCGTATACAAATCCCTCACCAACCCTCCAGCCGAACCTGCACTCGCCAAAATCGCACGCAGGACGTCTACCTCCGTCATATTGCCTTTCTTTGTCTTCTTCCTGCTCGCGCGCACTCCCGCTCCCGTTCCTGCGATCGATACAGAGTATTTTGAGCCGCCCCGAGTCCATGCCCACTTCAGAGCAAATAGATAGCTGATAAGAGGCGGGAAGAGACCGGGTGTCAATTGCGTGGCGGAGAAGAGGGAGGAAAGGTGTGCCGGGCTGGCAATCTTTTGCAGCCGCGCCAGGGTCTTGGGGTCGAGCACTAGGCACTGAGGCAAGGGTGTCGCTGGGGCTCTCTCGTCATCCTCTGAAAAGGAGGATTCATATATGGGTGTCGTTTTGTCCGTGGTCGCGCCTTTCTTTTCTGGCTGGGATTGACGTAAGATGCCCGCCGGGAAATCTCTCAACAGAAGGGCAGACAGGTCCAAGTACGTTTCGAGTACAGGTCCAGGAAGAACTTTGTACTGCGGCGAGAACAACGCATATAGAGTTGCCGTTAGGTGCACTTTCGATCTTCCTTCGTCCGTCTTCGCCTTCTTCTCGAGCTCTGCCTCCAACTCGGGTAGATGTGGCTGGAAAAGATGAAACTGCGACAGCGGAAGGCGTGCGATGAACTTTGACAGCTCCTCCAATGGGAGACGGTTGGGTAGGAGAGGTATAGATAAAATATATGCGAGGATACGAGCGAATATTGAGGTATATTGAGGAGACGTCGAGAAGAAGGTTGATAACGGAAGTGTGATGAGCGAGAGGAGCGGTGGGTACACGGGTGACTTCTTGGCGTTTGTAGGCTGGGTGTATACGCGTTGTTCAGTTGTCGAATATCATAGAAGGTAAAATTTACGTACGATGCGTTCAATAGCCTGCCCCAGCATTTCATACAAGCCTTTCCCGACGAGATATTCCGTGATGGATCGAACGAAGGCAGGGCCGTCACCTCGATTGCCCACAGCCTCCTCTGCGACATCCTTTGAGAGTAGCGAATTCAGGACGCTGAGATATGTCGGCGCATGCGATGAGCTAGTTCAGTTCGGACGTTAGTCAACGAGGTAACGAGCGAGGAAAAGAGTGAATACTCACCGAGGAGCATCAGCTACAGCACGGACGAGGAATAGGCCGACTTGACAGAGGAGAACGATCCGGGTCGCCTGGTTGCTTGGGGTTGAAGTAAGAACGGGAGCCCATACAGCATCTGATGGGAGATTCATCGGCGTAGCCACCCAAGGAAAATAATAGACGTACGCGGTCCTGCACTGGCTACCTCACCAGCCCACCTCGATAGAGCTTCCCCAACTTCCCGATCTTTGCATCGCCTGCATATCAAGACGAGGCATCGCAACCCCGTCCGCCTCGAACATCGCCTTCACCTCCTCCCTTGTGCGCCTTGATGCTTTGAGATCACGATACCAGGACTGGATTTGAGTCACGGAGTCGGCACGGCGACGTTGAGCCGCCCGCGCCTCGCGTTCTGCTTGTACGTTGCGAAGGATCGAAGTGGAGGAAGCGGATGAAGACGAAGCGCCTCCCAGGTTAAGCCTGCGCTTGCGGTCCGCATCGAAGCTTGGAAACATTGTTGGATTGTATCAGCACTCCCCCACCCTTGAGCAAAAGATAGAAAAGAGGACGAAAGGCGAAGTGGCGATGGTGTGGACGATAAGGAGGGAAAAGATGCACCCAACTTCGTTTCTCACATCACATGATCGTGTCGTAATGCTCCTTCAGGGAAAGGGGAAAGGAAGGAGGGGAATGCATAGGGCGACGGGGAGAACGGGAATCGAAAACAAGATGCAGGTCGAAGATTCACCTAATAACAACGTGGAGTCAGCGTGTAGGTATTTGTGGGTGATTAGAAAAGGAAATTGGAGGAGTGAAAATCGAGGATGCCATGGCGCCTTTCGAATTTGACACTAGAAAATCCATTATTGTTGACGTCTGGAGAACGGCCTGCCTGGTGGTGGTGGAGGGAGTTGTCGAAAATCGAAAATGTGGGTTGATGGTGAGCGAACACGATAAGATAAGATCCTTCCACTATATGCACCGAAACCGAAGAAAGGGGCCAGTCTTCAATCACTTCCGTGTAGACTTCTCGTCGTATAGAGGCCAAAAAATACGTCTCTTCATTCTCATACCCAGGGTCAGGAATAAGGCGGATCAGCAGCTACGTTGTTTCTGCGCCAGGCAATCTTTCTGAGACTTGAAGCCCACCTCAAGAAGCTTAGCCCAACCTCTTCGTCCATTTCGTTTCATCGCGTCTGAATTGAATTGTTGAACCTTTAGCAGCCCACGTCCATCAACCGTCTCTTAATCCTCTGATTCAGTAGTTCTCCGTACGCCGAGGCTTCATTCCGTGTACCGAGACGTTCTACTTAAATCAGCTTATAATGGTTATGTCGCCCCGGCAGTAAGGTACTCTACGCTTCTCACTCTAAATTAGAAAGACTTATAGCTGACGAGCACTTCCCAAACGATCCAACGTTGCATACTTATGTAGGGCGGTTGAAACAGAAAGTGTTCATCGTTAAATAGATGGAGTACAAGAAGTACGGTACATTTGGTACGCCAACGAGGATGTCTTTTCAGAGCGAGATATGATCTTCGAACAGATCATCGTAGCTCAGGAAATTGCCACTCGGCTTCCTAGACGACCACAAACCCAAGCAAAGAAGCTATCATGACCAGCAGCGACGGCACTACAACTCCAGCAGCAGCATCCGTCGTCGGCGAAGGGTCCGCCCCATCATCCGAGGTCGTAGGATCGGGAGGCGAGGTAGCCGTCTCAGCTAGAGGTACGGTGGTCGAATCAGCACTCGATTTCGAACAGAAGAGGTGGGCGGGACAGGGACATACTCGGAGCAACGAGCTGTACGCCAGACGGGAGGGGTCCGACAGCTGCAGAGGCAGAAGCGCCGATACCGACGAGGCCACCTTGGTCTTGCTGTTGGGTAAACAGAAAACGCGAGGTAAGCACAGAGGATGGGCAGAATTGGGGAAGGAAGAGAGCATGGAGACGTACGCCACTATCCCTATCGACGCTCGCGGCATTGGTGCGGAACGCTTCGTATGTGTTCCCGGAGGCGGGTGGGTTGATCGCGCCGACCATGCCTAGAAGTAGCGAAACACGGCGCTCAGCGTGTGGATTTGCTATGTAAAATCCAACGTACCTTGCTGGCAGTGCCGTCCAGTGAGCTGCTTGCAGTAGAACCAGATCGCTATCCATATCAAAATCCGTCAAATTCAAAGAAAACGAAAGGCGAAGGCGAAGGCGAACGTACGCGCTTGGTCATTCGTGATCGTCAAATTGAACTCTGGCACCTCATCCGTGACGGCGTCGGCGTTGGGGACGTAGACCCAGCCTGAGTCAAAGCCGCCGTCCACAGGGTCGCACGGGGCGGCGAACGTCGATTGGGTAACAGTGTGGTTCCCTGGACTGAAGTAAAAAGTGATGTTAGAGATATTTGACATTGAGCTTGACGTGTTTGGTGCAGAGAGAAGCAGGATGGAGGATAGAGAGGATAAACTTACGCTCCGCTGAACCTGAAGGTAACGACGGTGCCGTTCGTGGCGGTCACAGTGGGAGGGATGAACTGAAAGATGCCGCCTTGACTGCCAGGTGCAGCACCAACTTCCACGACCTGAACGTGGCGGACGATGGAAGAGGGGAGGCGTCAGCGATGAAGTCGAGAGAAGGCAGTAAGCGCCGCGAAGAGAAGAGGCGTACCGTCTGGGCAGATACCAGAGACACCAAGGAAAGGGCGGAAAGTGCAACGGAGACCAACATCGAGATGCGGTTTCGCAGGTGGAGCTGGGGTAAGGAAGGGTATGAGAAAGAAGGAAAAGCTGTTTGTGAGGGCTTAAAAGCCTCACTCACCTAATGATGCTTAACTAAAATGAACGTGGTGTGAGAGATCGTTGACGCCATGAATTTCTTAGTGGTGCTGGGCGTTTCGAGATAGAAATAGCGTAACATAGCCTGGCGCCCCGAGAAAGGTGACTGAATACACGGTAACGTTCGAAATTGATGTCGAATCTGACCACGACGACTCTGTTCTACGTCTTTGACACGCTTCGGGCGCACGAAGAGCGAAAAACGCTTCCAGGCGAAGTGTTTTCCTGGAATTGAGTAGCCCGAGCGATGTAATAGCGTTCTTCCTAGAAGCCTACGGTAAAATGCGAGGAATGGCGCCTGACAGGTGCTGCCGTCAGGGAAGGGTTCTTCGACTGCGGAACGAGGCACAAGACATCGGCGTGACGGATGCCGAGTGGCTGAGGATGAGGCATATACGAACTTGGGAATGCCCAGAAGGCATGTAGATCGGCGACGACGCGTGTCCTGTTCCATGATCAAACTGGACCGAGGCGTGTAGGTATGGACGAGGGACAAGAATACACGAAGCCATAACCTGGGCTGGGCATTTGAGAACTGAGCTTCGAGAATGTAGAAGAACGTACCAGGAAGTTTGAGATAGTCGTCCCATAGCTCAACGCAATTCTTGTAGAATATTTTTGTCTGTGGGAAGGGAAGAGATATTTCGGGGTAGTAGAGGTACTGGTAACAATCATTCAACCTCGTTCGACGGCTGTTGCTTATTTGACGTACAATTATGGCCCATCTAACCTAACCAGCGCCGTGGACGAGGCTCTGCTGGAGGACAAGATATTTACGCCTCGCTGAGAACTGACGGCGCGTCTCGGTGTCGAACTTCTGCGTAACAACGACTATACTTGAAGTCGTCTTCGGGTAAAGAGGGTGTGCCCTTCGGGGAATACTGAGCGCTGCTCGTGCGGCAGCTCTCGGTCATCCAAGCTTGGCAGAGGGTCCAGCACTGAAAATGGACAGCTGACAACAAATTCACTCGGTTCTGCAGATAGAGCCAGTTGAGGTTACCCTCGAAACCAAAGGGTGCCAATGACGAAGTTACTGATTTGATCTTGCATATGTCCATCTTGTGTTCATCCATCTTCATAAATGATGTCTTTCGAACAACATCCCGAGCAAGTTGTGGAGAAACGATTGGGATTCGGTGGTGGTAGAAGCAACGTTGTCATCCAAGAACGGCCAGTAATTCGAATTCTCTCTTTTCACGCTCCGCTTCGGTGACTTCCGCGCCTCTTTTTCCCGCTTTCCACTTCCTAAATACCTTTATACGACCGTTCGCACCTATCCAGTCCTTCTGGAATCAGACCATGCTGGCGCATATAGCCCCTTTGGGCGTCTTCGTATTTTCCGCTTCCCTCTACAGCTCTCCCCTCCACTTTCCCGTTAAAATTGCACCTAAACACGTCCTCGAGACGCCGTTAGCTCGATCTGATGGATTGAATGGGCGTTTCTCTCTCTCTTTCATCCTCCGCGGCCGAATCAGTGCTTGGGGTGCGGCGCTCGTGTAAAGAGGGCTTTACTCACATAGCAGCATCGTAATCAACGAAATGTAGTGTCTTGCCTGGCTGATACGCGCAGTATCTAGCTAATTCCCATGCACTAATCCTGTTCTTTAAAGCTTAGAGTCCACTAAGAGGCCTTCCTAGCGATCCTTAGAAATATACCCTGTTATTGCGACGCTCGAGAGGTCATCTAGTCCATCAGCCCATCGTACTCGTACATAGGAATGTTAGGCAACGCCGAGATACCCAAACGTACTTGGGCATGATTAATCCTGGAGACGCAAGTACTAGCATGTGCGTTGTGGGGCTCATCGATTCGTCGGCGTCGAGGGGGTCAATTTGATGCTATTTGCTCTACCTTCCTCACGTTGCTGCTCATATTGAAACCCATGCGCTGACATACACGTCTTCAACTCGACTTCACTGACGATTTGAGGTCAGGAACACAACTTGTATACCATCGCCCGCCCCTCTCCCGACCTTGTACGATACGCAAAGTACAGTAAGTGATGGCCATGAGTAACTGGGCCGGGACGCAAGCACGGAAGCGTAGGACTTGGGCGGTTTGGTGTATAGACTACGTTGATGGGCTATATTTCACAGTACCTGGCCACAAGACTACTTTTTCTTTGCCCACTTCGGTGCTGACTGTCGCTCGTATCTAAGTAATTCTTTCCGCCATCACACTTGGAACCAAAACAGACGGATACAGATAAGTACTACTTGCCCGCGCAGGAAATAGCTGTGGAATGCAAAGACAAAATTTCGGCCAATTTCCTTTAGCGCTCGTTGGTCGTACTGACCCGCTAGCCCATGACTAATTACATACTGTATGAACCCCCTGCTCCCCGGCCGAACTCGTATCTCCTCTGTTCTATCTCCTATCGCTAATGCAGCGAGGCCTCATAGAGTACGTCAATTTTTTTCCACCAATTGCATATCCACTCTCTGCATGTGTCTCCCTTGAACACGCCTGTCGAGCGTGCTCAGATCCAAAAATATCTCAGCAGCCTTTTAAATTCGCCAACAACACGGCCAGCAGCAGGTAGGTCCGTTCTCGAATACCCTGCTATAAATAACTGAGGAGGGGGGTGAACAGCACGCCGTCAGGCCCACCAAAAAAGCCTTCTCTTCGTTTTTCTGTACTCGTTCTTTGTCTCCCATGAAGTACCGCCCGTTCGTCCCCATCTTCATCTTTCTAGTGCATAGTTGGATTTCCCGTGACATTGATGCTCCTGTAGGTTGAAATTTACCTTTGTGGACGTTGGTGCTAGCACTCAGAATTATAACGTCTATTATGTGTAGGCAAGAGGCAGACGACTCAGACGAGCATCGCAGCCTGCTCGTGTGGAGAGTAACCAACGACGCCAGAGCGGCGGAAGATGGAAATCGCGTATCCCTTCCTCGAATAACAGATCGAAGAGTGATGTGAGGTCCAGAACGGAGATGAGGCCCAGGTACTTGCCTGTAATTCTACCAATTTCATGGCACTTAAAACACCTCTGCACATTTTCGACAGACCTAATAGCAACCTTCTGCGCCGAAATTTTCTGTCACAGAAGACAATTTGGCGTCGAGAGTAGTGCTTTATCAAGCTCAAAGATCCCTTTTCCTTGGCTGTAGTTGCGGACTATTTTTCTTACTAGCGAAAGGTAGTGAAATCGATGTGTTGGTCAGATATTGTATTGGGATATCAACGAGCGACTGCTACGGAACGCGGTGATTTGTCATAACTGAGATGGATTCGAATGATTAGCAGCAGTTGGACGTACTGGATAACACGCGGCAAGGTGTCTCCGTCGAAGTGAGTTTCGACTCAGCAACTACGTATCTGGAGACAGTCTGGAGTCGAGACCAAATCTTCCGACACAGCCTTCGTATCCCACATTAATGACGATACAGATGGGATGAGTTATCTCGGAAAGTGGGATGTTTTCGCCGGATACGAGTGTGCAGATTGTTTCCCTGTTGTAAAGCTTCGATATCTATAGGGTTGAGTGGCTCAGAGAACCCGTTGATGGATGTTCAATTAGCATGATGAACGAACGTGAGGGCGTAAGACATAAGATATGTACACTGTAGACGCACCATTCAGTCGGACCTCTCCAGCATCTCGAGGTCCTTGATCAAATTTCGATTCGACGAATCTGTAATAGAAAGATCTACGCCATCCTCCGAAATAAGCTCCCGGAAGATGGCAGAATTCGCATCGTCGATGTAGTGGATGACATGGAAGGACCCGAGACCAGATAATGCGATGCCTGGCAGCTGAATTGTTAAAGCACCGTACAAGTCGATGGAATCGAGATCCGGGAGGAACGCCTTGACTTCTCCGTTGTATACATCCAACACGGTCTCGCCGAGGTGCTGGAAGAGGGTATCCGAGAGCTTGACGGCGAACAGCTCCAGACGATACAGCTCGGGCGTGGCTTCGAGGAGGGGGATGATGGGTGCTTCTTGGAGATCGCCGTTCGTGATTCTGAGCGTTTCCAAAGAGCATCCCGAGCGTCTGATGAAAGAAGTGACAGAGTCGAGTGCTTGAGACGGTTGGAATTCGGCCGCGAAGGCGAGATAGACCAGTGAAGGGAGGGAGACGACGTCGAAGAAGTTGGCCATATTGCTCCTGTCGTCGAGCCACAGCCACCGAACTGACTTGTGCACAATATGCACTTCGTCGCGCTGACCAGTGCTGACCCTGTATCCAACATCTTCGAAATTGCAATGCACTAAACGGGGACTCTGCTTGAGAACGAGCAGACATTCGTCCAAACGGAACCCAAACCCTTCAATATAGGCGAGATTCGTCCAATCCACGTCCATCGAATGCGAAGAGAGCCCACGTAAACTGATTTGAGTTGGAGCTGGCCGTACGTTCTTCATGGTAAATTGGCTTGGGAGCCTTCTATATCGCGGCCATTCTGTCGGGGTCAGGCGAAGGCTGTCGAGAGTGGTAGCCGGCAATCCGTTGCCGCATAGCCTGTATATTAGCCCAATTGGCATGTGAGCCTCGAGAGTTCCCCACCGATGGGAAACCTCATTGATAACTCCGATGAGTGGAAGAGTCAAGCTGTCGGGCAAGGGTTTGGAGTCGAATGACGAGGAATGCCTCTTCATGTAGACTTTGATCGAAACTGGAAGATTGCCGGAGCGAGCTAGCCATTCTGGAAACCGTTTGACTCGAGGGAGGCGGGGTCATCAATGTTGATATTGACGTAGGTCCACAGTTGCGGTGTGGATCGAGAGATATACGGCTCCTCAGGACGACATGAAACGAATACCCGAGAAATGATCTCCGGAGGCAGACGAGAGAAAGAGTCGTGTTCGTGGTTTCGTTCGGCCTTCAAAGTGAAGTGCTTCTTGAAAAGGCAGGCGAGTGTTTCTTTCGCGGCTTCGATCTCAGCATCGAGTAACTCGATGGCGAAACACGAGCCGCATTTCGAGCCTTTGCGTAATTTACACTGACCTACAGGGACATCGCGCAGATCCAGGCAATCCTCAACCCCGCATGATCGACAGGCTAGCATTATAGGGTTCTGCAAAAGATATGAAGTCAAAGTGTTGACCACGCGTTGTCATGTAGAAAAGTACCTGGGAAAATATCACAGTAAAATAACCTTGGATTCTCTTTAGAACATAAAGATATTGTGCTTGGGAGAAGGGTGGAATAAATGTTGGCGTTGGGAAGAGAGAAGGTCCTCGGTTTGATTGCCATTGTCTCGCGTCTGTCACAAGGCACGTGGTCGTTATTTTTGGCGACGGTATCTTTGGAAATGAACTCGCAATTTGTACACATAACTTATAAGGGACCTCCTACCCAACCTGCCCCAACTTCCTCTTCTCCAGCGCCTTCACCTCCTGAGAGAGCTTCTCGTTCATGACAATTTGCTTCGCCACGCCTTTCTCGTCGCCAGCCCGCCGTTTCAACTCTGTAAAAAGGTCTCCACGTCAGCTATGGCCCCAACACGACGATGTAGAAAGCGAGATATTTTAAGAAAGACCGACCTAAAGACCTCTGGCCGATCCACAGCCTCAGGTACGCGTTTCCCACCCCATTTGCCTGCGTTGCCTTGGACTCTGCTGTACCCGGAGACTCCTTCGCCTTTCCCTTCGCACCAGGAGCGTCATTCGTCGGCTTAGGCTGCGCCCCAAGGCCTGCCGCAATCTGCTCCGCGGTATTGAGGATCGTCTCTGCATGCTCCGTCGACGTATGGAGGTACTGCTCGGCGATGAGGGAGAGGATGAGCGCGCGCATGTGATTGTCGCCCGCGGCGCTCGTTAGCTGGAGTGCCGCTCGCAGATGGGTCCTATACGTTCGACGGTTAGCGCTTGAAACTTTCGCAGACGTTAAGAAAAATGAGAGGAAAACGAACTTGGTCACCAAAAACTCCTTCGCTAAACATGCCGTTAGAACCGCGCCTACAGTCTTCAGCGTCCCTCCAAGGCCCTCACACTCTTTCGCTATTTCCATACCCGGTATTCGGAGCACCTCTAATGCCTCCTCCCTCTCCTCCTCGTCCTCGATCGCACTTAGGACTCCAATACGGAGCCACATGTCGCCTGCACGTGCCGAGACGTTGACCCAGTCATCTTCACAGCCGTCGTCCTCGTCCTCGTTGTTGGCGTTGGCATTAGGGGTCGAGCGAGAAGGATGAGTTGTGTTGGCGGTCAGAGCAGTTGAGGTCGACGGAGTTCTTTTGCGGGAAAGGAAGGCTGCGACTTGATAGCACTTCCACGCACGATCTGTTTGCGCGAGTGCGTGTGCGAGATGGGCTTGATGGAGGGTGATACGGGCGCTGTACGCGGAGAAGAGGCCGTACGTTCGTGTATGGGCGATGATTTGAGCAAGACTCTGCAGAATGACGCAAAAGTTGTGAATATATGCGTAGTTGTGAGGTAGATTTAAGCATACCCGTTCTGCGTCATCAAATTCGCTTCGAGTTATCGCGACCTAGAAGGAAGAATAGAGTTGACTGGGCTGTGAAGGAGGAAGGCGAGGAGAAGTCGTTACCCCTATCAGCTCGCAGAGCATATCTGCCTTCATTTTCTGCATCCTCAGCTGAATTTCGTGCACGTCGGCGCTGGAAGCCCACAGAGGAACTGCCCATTGCACTCAATCAGGACGAATAAAATGTACCAGAGAGAAAGAACACAAAACGTACGAGGTACTTCCTTCTTCACCTCCCTATCCACCAACGCTACGCCTTCACCCGCAAACACCCTCCTCTTCGGCTTCCTCCCTACCGGGTCTCGCTTCGCCACCGCGCTAACTAGGAACCCAAGCCCAAAGATGACCTTCGGGTGGGTAACCTGTATCAGCAGCGGCGTCCCTCCTCCCAAATCCAGCTCGACGACTCCGAACTTCCCAAATGCATCCAGAGCCCCGTTGTCGAGCAGGTCGTGCAGCTTCTTCATCCGAGACTGGGCGTTCGCGTTGTCGCCGGTGTAGGTGTGGTAGATGACGCCGATCATGAGAGCCTGCACGATGAGGACCTTCTCAAGGTCTGTCCCTCCTAACAGCTTCGGTTTCTCCGCCAATTTGAACGCCGACGGAACTGGGGCAGACGGGGCTGCTGGCTCGAGGTCCGAAGAGATGCTAAGCTGCTCTTCGATGCTCGTCAGCGACAACCCGACCTTGCTCCAGAGTCCAGCTTGAACGAGCTCCCGCAGCTCGAGCACCGTAGCCAGCAGCGCGACTTGCAGATGTCCATTATCCGCCGCGAGTTGATGGAACTCTCGGATGGCCGTAAGCACCCACAGGTGGCCGCTGGATGCGGAATGATGGTCGGTATCGGGGATGGTTGAGAGGCTGGTGATGTACGCAAGGTGGGCGGAGTATTGGACGTGTGGTGGGTCGGAGGGAAGGACGGAGTTCGTGAGGTGTTTCTTGAGCGCATTTTGCGCAAATCGTGGGTTGTTTTTGTGGAGGGCGAGTTTGGATGAGAGGTGCGTAAGTTGGGTCTTGTAGACGCGCAGAGACGGGTGCTAGACACGACGTTAGCTCTCGTACGTGGGGGAGAGGTTCCTAAGTTCGTAAAACCTACTTTTTTGGCAATTACGAGCTAATAAGAATATCAAAAATGCTTTCAACGCGTCGTAGAATTAACGAACGTACTGCTTTCGTGATGGCCCTCTCCACCTCACTCTCCACCCCCGGCTCGTTTAACCCAGTCCGAAGCCCAACCTCCGCCAGCTCCGTCCACGCACGACACTCCGTGTTCGAGTCCAGTCCAGGTAGCGAAAGACATTTCCGAAGAGCGAGTTGCGCCACGAAAAGCGAGCGCGTGTGGTGCTTATGGGTTGGAGGATGTGCGAGAAGGGTCGACAACGAAAGAAGGAGGATTTCGGGGGGCAAGGGTGCCATTTCTATGAAACTTTCGTCTCCCAACTTTACGCGCTTCTGCGGTCTCGGATTGTCGTCCATCGGGGAATTTCTCCTAGACATGATAGAACGGGGAAGAGGTGTGTGTGTCACGCATCGTGACGAGTCGCGTTTAGACTGGAACTGGACTGCAACACCGTCACGTCTTTCTCCTCCGCACTCGTTCTCCACAGCCATCGGATGCTTGCAGGCCGTTGGCAGGTCGGAGACGTAGGCAGACATCGGCGACCTCGGATATGCTGGCCATCGCATCAGAGGTGAGCTCGAGCTTTAAATCAGTGGTACAACAACTACTCACCCTATCTCTCTACAGCGGACAGGCTCTCTCAACGTCTTTGCTGTCTCTACTCCATCGTTCGAGCACAACACATGGGGTAAACGCGGCGAAAAGATACAGCATGAACCGTAACACACGCCCATGACCCGCTATCCGTCAGTGAACACAAACCCCACCCCATCTCCAGTTCGGATCGTCGTGTGAATCCACAGCGAGCCGGCAAACGTAGGCAGGGTGTAGGGATTGAGTACTACGGGCGGTAGAGGTACGATGTCATGCCTAAAGACGCGTGGTAAGTGTTGCTGGACGTCTCGCTGTTGTGGCCTGTATTACCTCGACTCTCTAGCCATTTCTCCGCATCTCTACGCCGCTACCGGGAGCTCGGGACATTAGGAACCTCATCAGCAACAAGCACGAATGTATACTCACCACTACCGTTAGGAGGGCGGCCAGGATTGTCGAGAACGATGGAGTCTGCGCTGGACTAGTCATCAGTGAGTGCCCTCGTTCTATATGACAAAAACGAGCCTTTACCTTTCGTTTTCATGGATGTAGCACCCCGAGGCACTCTACAACGCGAATATGGGCAAGATACACGTCAAGGAGGAGCTAAAATTCACCTGGATCGAGGACGGGTTGATGTTAGATTCTGGCTAACGAGAGAGGCAAGACACGGTGCGGAGTAAGTTTCTACATCGACTACGTTGTCGGACGAGTTCTTACCTTGTTTTATTAGATCTTTCTCATCAACGTCGCAGTCGAGCGCACAACTGAAGATAACATCTTGGGCACGCACAATACACGGGTAAGTCGCCTAGCTCATCGAGCTCGACGTTGGAGCACTTACCTCTTCGTAGAAAGCTCGCTGACGGTCTTTCCTTCAATTTAGACACCCTTGCGTCAGCGAGCGAGAAGGAGCAAAGTGTAGAGGCACTCCTCGTCGACCGGACCGGCGGCAGCGGATCTAAAAGACAATCAGGCGATCGGTAGGACGAATAAATGACAAGGGACGATGGGTACACACGAGGGAAGGACAGGACGGACGGGGTCGAGTCGAATCCGAACTAGGGCGGCAGCATGGGTAGCAGCACGTATCTAGGCGGCGATGGGCCTGTTCGTGACTAGGGCGGGCTGGAAGTAACGTATATGTGAGTTCCTCTCTCGCAGACGAGGAGCAATATCTCTTACGTCTTGTTCATCCAGCGCTGGCGACCAAAAATCGGCTATGCATCGGGCGTAAAGAAAACAAGAGACACCATGAGAACAACGTCGGTACTCACCAGCATTGAGGGCGGAGGTCCGAAGGTCGTGGTCGATGCTGTGGGTGGCGAGGCAAGCTGGCAACAGCAGGAGGTAGTTCCTTTCGTTGCCTACCCTGATACATGAGTGCTGACCTTCTTTCTCCAGCCCTTCCTCCTCAACGTTTCAACACCGGCGGCACGCAGCACATCGAACACAACGAGCTGGGGATGGTCAAGGTACTTATGTCAGCGCCGTCATACGAAGGATTTTGAGTGCTTACCTCTATGCTTTATGTAGCACCTCTCCCACTTCATCTCGACGTCGACGGGCGGAGAACGGATAGAGCGAGACCTGGTTGTGTTCCGAGGTTAGTCCCGCCATCGTTTGTACCACATCACGAGTACTTACCCCCCTTTCTTCTCCAGCACGCTCGCATAGGTATGAGCTCAACGTCGAGCTCAACGGTCGGCGCCGAGCTACATGTTGGGCAGGCGGATAATATGGAAGTCTAGGTAGTGTACGGAATGGGTATGAACGCGAATAGCTTCTTACCTTGTGTTCTTAGGTCCGTCGTGGCTCCGTCGTGGCGCGTTATGTCGTGTGGTGTAGATGACGGCGGCGAGTCGATTCGGCGAGTGGAGATAAGATGGAGGTCGAGGTGTTGACGCAGGGTCGAGGATGGGGTATGTGGGCCTTATAATCGTCTCAACACTATCCACTTACGTCCTAGCCCTTTTAGATGGAGCATTTCATTCAAATCGAGACGATATACATATCCAGCATCGTGATATTGTCTGGGTTGATGGTCCAATCTGTTTCTGCAATGAAAATGGTACTCTCGAAAGCTCGTTTCGACAACACGAGCTACCTTCGTCCTTGCGTTGCTCGTAACGACTCACTTCAACTTATCACTTTGTCCCGATCTCATGCATAATATCATCCATCTTAATCGCCTTGAAATGCATATTGATTCTCTAGTGCGTCTAGCCATAAGTACAACGAACGACCGTATCGTTCTCTCTCTAATCAAGGTCATCATAGAAGTCCAACGCCCGAGCAACAAGCTCCAAAAACTCGTCGTACTCGCGCTTGGGTGTGCTCGGCGGCGCCGACGTCCCCGCTGCATGCTTAGGGCTTCCCTGGTCCCCAGAAACCCTTGAACCATCCTTCGCGATATGGAGGGTGGTGACATGATCGCCGTTCGCCTTCGAATACTTCACCGTGGCATGGGTGGCTCCCGCGCCGTTCTTGTGGAAGCCATCGTGGACCGTCGCCTTGTTTCCGGATGCGTTAGCCGGGTGGTTCGGCTCTTTGGCGCGGTTGGCCTCGACAGCAGCGATCTGGTGGGATTGTTTGACCTTGCTCGCGCGGCTGCTCCCTGCGGTAGGGGTCACGAATTTCTTGTTTCCGAAAGCACGAACCTGTATATAAGACGACGTCAACGAGAGGACCGTCTATGAAAGGAAACAAGAGCACGTACCTCCAAGCTTCGTCTGGCCGGAGAGTTGGGCGGTGCAGAGGTGCCAGCGGCGTGTTTCGGGCTACCCTGGTTCCCAGAGACTCTGCTACCGTCTTTCCCGATGTGCAGAGTGGTGACGTGGTCGCCATTCGAGTTGGAATACTTCACCGTAGCGTGGGTGGCTCCTGGGCCGTTCTTGTGGAAGCCGTCATGGACCGTCGCCTTGTTTCCGGGGGCGTTGGCGGGGTGGTTCGGTTCCTTGGCGCGGTTGGCCTCGACAGCAGCGATCTGGTGGGATTGTTTGACTTTGCTCGCCCGGTTGTTACCCGCGGTGGGTTTGACGAAGCCCTTGTTGCCGAAACCACGAGCCTATTATACGAATGAATCAGCGCTGGAGATCCAACTATCAAGGTATGAGACAAACCTCGAGGCTGGAAGACTCATAGCCGTAGGTCGGCGCAGCACTGACGGACAGAGAAGCGGCGGCGACGGTGGCAAGGGCGATGATCTGGTTCTTCGTGAACATGGTGAATCGTGAAGAAATAGGGCGAGAAGAGAGGGCTTTGAGGACGAGGCTTTCGACGAGAGTGAGGCGAGTATGCTATAGACCGACCAGCGGGCTATTCGATTTGCTACCTGAGCTGGGGAACCCTCGACGATTTCGTGTTCCCTTTATACTCGGCGAACACCTTGCATCCTGGTAACGTGGCATGAGGTCTAGCGATGATCGGTCGTCTGCTGCGCCACCTTCTTACGACGAAAAGAAAGATCGCCACTAGGAGGCCCGGAAAATCCATCTGCTGCATTCAGTTCGTCCATTCAACCCCTATTGCTAAGTCACCGGTGGTTATGTAAAAGAGAGTGGCGCATTGAACATCCTTGGCAACGACCGTGCGTTCCTTTGATCTACTGATGGTTTGATCGAGAACTCCCTATCAATTCCCTCAGAATGCCGTATTGCTTATAGATCGTCAGGACACGGCCGTCGGCAGAAAAGGATGGGTGCGCTCGTTGCTATCGATAGAATGAATTTCGGAAAGGCTTCCCCGGGGTTTATGTATCCGTCTCCTGTTTCGTCCTCGAGAAGTCTCGAGGCCTTCCAAGCCTTTCTCCAACTGCTTGAAAATCTCGACAAGAACCAGGAGGAGTTCCTATCTTCGGACCATTTGGCACATTGATATTTGCTAAAATAATAAATTCCCGCCCGCCGAGGTCAATTATATTCCTCAATCTATATTTATACGATCTGCTCCCCGCTGACCTTTTTGGGTGTTCGACGATTTTGGTGCCCATGATTCCCCATGTTCGCGTGGTATTGCGTCGTCGCAATTCGTGGGGTATCTATTGAAGCGTCCATGGCGGCCGCCATTGCATTTCGTGCTATTAGTAGATCGTTGTACCATGGGGTATCGTTCGTTGCCCACGTGGTGGCTTCTTTCTCAGAGAGAAGAGATTCTGACTTAGAACGCAATTCTACACTCCCATATGATTCTTTTATGAAAGATCGTATGTTTATTATTCGTTGGCGCCCGAACATTTACGACGCGAGTAACATACAACCCCATCTCGGTGCATCCATTGACCCCCACCAACATAATGGCGTATTACGACAAATAATCATTGAGTGGTGGTGGATGTATATTAGTAATGTAAGTATGCAACAAACGTACATAGCTAATAGGACGTGTAAGCATGCATGAAGACAACGGAAGGGGGATGCGTGATGTGGATGAGAATAACGAAGGAAAGATCAGATGATACTTTTGCTTACGGGCACGCGTCTTCCTCCTACCTACGCATACAGCCCAATTACCTCCTCGCACAACGAACCGACGGCCAGCGGCGAACTAAGTCCCAATTCTCGACGACCTCGACGGTCAAGTGCTTAGAACCCGCCCATACCGCCCATGCCTCCCATACCGCCCATACCACCTGCTGGAGCCTTCTCCTCATCAGGTGCCTCGACCACACACGCCTCGCTCGTCGTCAACAGACTCGCCACGCCACTTGCATCCACCAGCGCCGTCCGCACAACTTTCAGAGGATCGACGATACCAGCTTTAATCATGTCGACGTATTCACCCTTCGCCGCGTCATAGCCCCAGGCGAACTTGTCGGGGGTGCCGTACTGCGAGAGAAGGGTGCCCACGATGACGGACGACTCTTCGCCTGCGTTGTTTAGGATGGCACGGGCAGGACCGGTGACGGCGCGACGGACGATGGTGACGCCGAGTTCTTGGTCAAAGTTGGCGGTGGGGATGGGTTTGGCATCAGGCGAAACGGGTGCGGAGGAAGAGCCGGCGCCGGAGCTTGGAGAGGAGGTGGCGAGTTGAAGAGAGGCTTTGAGCAGGGCGATGCCACCTCCGGGCAGGATGCCCTCCTCGACGGCGGCACGAGTGGCGTTGAGAGCATCATCGTATCGATCCTTCTTCTCTCCAACCTCGACCTCAGATGCACCGCCGACCTTGATGACAGCAACACCGCCCGAAAGCTTCGCGAGACGCTCCTGAAGTTTCGAGCGATCGAACTCGGAGGTGGTCTGATCAGCAATGAGCGACCGAAGCTGCTCGCACCGCGCAACGATGGCATCCTTCGAGCCCTCGCCATTGAGAACAATGGTGTCGTCCTTCGTAACGGTGATGGAGCCGGTCGAACCGAGGAGGTCGATGGTAGCACGCTCAAGTTGGATGTCAAGCTCCTGGGTGAAAACGGTACCGCCGGTGAGGATGGCCAGATCTCCGAGGATAGACTTGCGGTTGTCGCCGAAGCCAGGTGCCTTGATAGCGACGACTTGGAGCTGACCACGGAGCTTGTTGAGGATGCAAGCGGCAAGAGCTTCACCTTCGACGTCCTCCGCGATGATGACGAGTGGGCGACGGCTCTTGGCGGCGAGTTCGAGGGTAGGAAGGATGTCTTGCAGAGCCGAGATTTTCTTCTCGGAGAGGAGGATCAAGGGCTTCTCGAACTCCACCTTCTGCGACTTGACGTCCGTAACGAAGTAGGGCGAGATGAAACCACGGTCGAAGCGCATACCCTCCGTGATCTCAATCTCATCCTCGATCGTCCGACCCTCCTTCACAGTGATGACACCCTCCTTGCCGACCTTCTCCATGGCCTCAGCGATGAGGCCGCCTATGTGCGTGTCGCCGTTGGCGGAGATGGTAGCGACCTGGGCGATCTCTGCGGTGGTGGTGATGGTCTTGGTATGGGAGGAGAGGAAGTCGACGACCCGGTCGACGGCGGCTTGCGAACCCCGGCGAAGGTCCATGGGGTTGCACCCGGCGGCGACGTTCTTGACACCTTCGGAGTAGATGGCACGGGCCAGGACAGTCGCTGTTGTTGTACCGTCACCAGCGACTTCGTTCGTTTTTTGGGCAACATCTTGAACGAGACTGTGTCCTCACGTCAGAGATCGAAAAGAAAAAAAATTGAAGGCCAACATACCGAGCACCAAGGTTCTCGAACTTATCCTTCAACGTAATCGCCTTCGCAACCGTGACGCCGTCTGAAAGAGAGGTAAGTATCGGGCTCTTCACGAGGAACGACGTAAAGAAAGAGAACATAAAGTGATGGTCGAAATGCAATTCGTAAACATCGAAAATCAGGAAACATGCGACGAAGGGCCACGGCCGAGAGTTGGAATCAATAGATGCATTTTTGAAAGGAAGAAAATCGTGGAGAGAAAATGGTGAAGGGACAAGGATAAACAGAAGAAGCAACGACAAAACGAGAATCCGATGATGCAAATCCCAGTCTATGGGACAATGGAGAAACGAGGTAGGCGGTCAAACGTTCAATTGGCCGAAAGCAATTGGCAAACGACCAAAATTTGCAGCAGCGATATGACTTTGGTGTGAACCGTCTCAGCCTTGCGGAGACTTGAACATGACGTCGACGGCGAAAGGTAACGAGCTGCAACGACAACGAGCATCTACTTCGTTGCCTCCTCTGCCTCATCTCCTCGCCCATCGTGTTCGGCGAAGAAAAACAAGTATGACGCGTACTCACCCTTGGTAATTTTAGGTCCACCAAACGATTGCTCGATGATGACGTTGCGACCTAAATGCGTCCAAAATCCATATCAACATCCATATAACGACCACACAATGTCTTCACGCGCCTTTGGGACCCAATGTGACCTGCACAGCATTAGCAAGGACGTCGACGCCCTTGAGAATGCTTGCTCTGCCCTCGTTCGAAAACTTGATCTCCTTGTGCGCGCCCCGGGTAATGGCGGGCTTCGCAGCCTTTGCGGCAGCACGGCGGAGAGACCTTGATGACGTGGTCGACAGGCGGTGCATTTTTGACTCGGAGAGGGAGAAAGAAAAGAAATAGGTGTTATGGGGATGAAGTCGAGGAAGAAAGCCCGTGTGAACGGTTTTCAAAATAGAAAACTCTCGAAAGACACGTGACCGTCTCTGGCTTACGTGTCGTTAACGGCGGTCTCATTCGCCTCTTCTCTCCGTACACGCCCTCCCTTCGCGCTGTTCGAAGATGCCTCAACTGGGGAACTCAACGGACTAATCTTACCGCGAATGCGACATTATCTTACATAACGAGTCAACCACTCGGAGAAGCAACACCCAAT